AGGGTATAAGAAAATATTTTCAGACGCCTTGGGTCATGCAGTGTACATTAGCAATTATCCATTCATCAGTCATTCAGGCCATAAGCTATTCAAAATTGCTAATGTCCTTAACAACCGGAAGCAGTGCTAATGCACTGGTCCCCAGAGGACACTTGCCACCGCGTCATATTTATGTTATTACTACTTACTACTTCTGCTATTACTACTACTACTACTACTCTTACCATTATTACTACTACTTTTACTGTTACTACTGCTACCATAACTACTATTTCTACGTCTACTTATATTGTTATTATTATTATTATTAGTATTGCTAGTATTACTTTTATTATAATTATTATTATTACTATTATTATTATTATTACTAATATTATTACTATTATTACTATTATTACTATTACTATTATTATTAGAAGTATTATTACTATTACTACGTCTTCTACCACTACCACTTAAGTCCGCATACTAGTACTACTACTACTACTACTCACTATCTCAGTGCTATATGAATGGATATATGTTGGTAACTATAATGCTCAGGTAGGCACGTGAAATTACACCAATCGAAAACATGGGATGTTATTTTACATTACGCGAGAAGTAGGGCGCGCCAACGGCGCACTCAACTAACTTTTCGGAAGCAATTTTCAATTATGCATCAACTCCGTCGCGAATTTTTGTACACGCATGAAATGGAAAGGTAAGCACTTTTGGAAAATGTCGGAAAAATTATGAGCCGAAGTGGTCCAAACGGCCATTTTCTATCGCAGATTGCTATAGGGTAAGAAATGCAACCATAAAGGCAAACATCGTAATAATTGTTAATAAATGTTATGATATAAGTGTGTAATTATCGGATAACGTATAATGATAAGATGTAGGAGACAATGCAACCCAAGTATAAGTCATGTGAACACTTTGTGACACTAAAACGCAGAGCAGGCATAGATGCCGAACTACACTGAAATGAATTGGCATAACATGTTAATAAAATCATACCCAAGTGTAATTTCTCTATGAATGGATGCAGCCTCCAGGAAGTGCAATGTTTCTCAAACACCTGACGAAAGCTGCAAAAAGGGCCCGAGTGGTGAAGCGGCGGTGACATAACCGCGTGGCATCATGATCCCATACCGGCCCCAGCAAAGGCGCGAGCGAGACAGAGGTACACGCCGGTGGAGGCACCTCCGCGGGCCGTGTTATCATCATCGGAGTAGCGGGTCTGGCGGGTGCGGATGGTGACACGTCGGCGCCCGTCATCACTGGCTAATAAAATACGCTAAAACACATTGTTCTCGAGCCCACGTGCCATCTGTATGACGTGCAAGTGTCCGGAGCCAGCGTGTCCACAGAGCTTCTGATGAGACGACAGACCTTCAGCTCTGATAGCGCATCAAATGTGGCGGCATGCGGTATTATAGATTCATCGGGAGATGACGGGTTATACTGGTCTCGACGGCATGCGCTGCAAAGCCGGCTTTACGTCACGCACTGTACCCTCAGCAAGGTTGTTCCTCTGCCTTGGACGTAGTTTATTGATGCTGTGATGAACACCGTTCGCTTGCAAGATGCTCTGAGATTCAGTGTACGTGAACGTAAAGCATTGTCTAACGCGTTGTCGGCAACAAAGCTGGAATGAACAGCAAAATCAAGAAGTCAACAACAGAACAACCGAAAATAAAACAGCAACGAAAAACCCTTTTATTTGCCGTCAGATCTGGTAGTACCAACCAACCAATGCATTTGGAGGGCCCTTTAACTCAAATATCATCATGGTAGTCCCAAGTAGAGAGCATCACGCGGCTTGTAGAACAAATGGTAGTGTACTAAATATTTCGGTGCTGGCTTGTGGCAAAACTGTCAAAATACCGTTATCTGTGTCACCTCTACATCCATCGACAAGGAATGAGGTCAGCATAAGTGCTCTTACGTATACGCAATGATCTTACAGCTGCACTGAACAACTCACAATGGTGACATGAACACAGTGCGGCAAAAGTGAAATGTACACATACACAAAATAATTTAAACAGAGAGACGGCTCTAGAATGCGCGACACGAAATTGCCCGGCAAGACGACGACAGGCGAAAAGCTGATGGGTGCGGCGAGCCCGCTAACGCCGTCAGGATGGTGCGCTGTGATGCAATAGCACGCGCCGCGAACAACGAACAGACAGCCACGCGAGCCCGCTGATGTTTCAGAGGCCTGGAAACGCTTACGTTGTCACGCTGGGTGACAGTCACATCGCACACACACACACACACACACACACACACACACACACACACACACACACACACACACACACACACACACACACACACACACACACACACACACACACACACACACACACACACACACACACACACACACACACACACACACACACACACACACACACACACACACACACACACACACACACACACACACACACACACACACACACACACACACACACACACACACACACACACGCCAACTCCAATTTGAAAGCGGAAAAAGTCGCCTTCTACCGGGACTGCCGGAATAGCTCGGTGCCCAGGATGTGCCGAATTTTGCAACTGGGTGCAATGACATCTGATACTAGACATTCATGAGGTAGTTGGGATGATAGGTCGTTTGCGAAGGCGTTAAAGAGAATGGAGCCCACTAAGAATCCCTGAAGAACACCTTGAGAGAGGCGACGGGACACGGAGCCGCCTCTCACGAACTGCCGCCGGCCACAGAGGTAGCTGCGGTACCGCCCTGGGTACCGCAAGCCCAATACCACTGGGACTTCGTCTGGAGGCACAATGGTCGACGCTTTCAAATCCACGATCAAGATCAGCTGAAGTGACGGCTGCAGCTTCGGATCAAGATCAACTGAAGTGACGGCGGCAGCTTCGATCAAGATCAACTGAAGTGACGGCTGCAGCTTCGATCAAGATCAACTGAAGTGACGGCGGCAGCTTCGATCAAGATCAACTGAAGTGACGGCTGCAGCTTCGGTCAAGATCAGCTGAAGTGACGGCTGCAGCTTCGATCAAGATCAGCTGAAGTGACGGCTGCAGCTTCGATCAAGATCAGCTGAAGTGACGGCTGCAGCTTCGATCAAGATCAGCTGAAGTGACGGCTGCAGCTTCGATCAAGATCAACTGAAGTGACGGCTGCAGCTTCGATCAAGATCAACTGAAGTGACGGCTGCAGCTTCGATCAAGATCAGCTGAAGTGACGGCTGCAGCTTCGATCAAGATCAACTGAAGTGACGGCTGCAGCTTCGATCAAGATCAACTGAAGTGACGGCTGCAGCTTCGATCAAGATCAACTGAAGTGACGGCTGCATCTTGTCCACCATTGACGCGGTGAGTTACCCATCACTGCAACAGCTTACAACGGATATACCGATACCGATACCGATACCAACCGATCTGCACGACCAATATACGACCTTTTCACCAATACTGGAAATATAAAAGTTGAAGACGGGTCTAACCAACTTCTTTGCGACGACCAGAGTTGTGCAGATGCACTGCTAATACAATTTTTTTCAAAAGCACGGAAAGACGCACCACATTTTGGTCATTTGAGCCAGTGCAGCACGTGGGGTGCGAGCATCACGAAGCCTTGGCGAATATATACTATTATATATTTTGCATCATATGCGGTCGTGACCTACAGCCCGCGAGGACGACGCGTCCCGCATGGTTTGGGATAATTCCGGCAGGGTTGCAGGGCACAGCCGTGAACTCGGCGTTGCGATCCAACGGCGGTCCGGACGGGAGGGGAGGGAATCGTCCGCTGTCAGCTCATCAAGAATGCACGGTCAGACGGCCACCAAGCGGCGATTGAATCCGTCCGCTTGTGCAGGTGGCATTTCCTTTACGGCAGCACCTTCCCTTAGCGGGACGAAGTACAGTCCCGACCCCCCCCCCCCCTTCCCCCCTCAAGGAAATACGGGTGTCTGTCCACATTTCAGCGTGAATGACGTTCTTGATGGCCTCTGGTCGCCAGCGCGTGTAACGGCACGTCGGCGTGATGACGTCGCAGAAGTGCAGCCGCTATGTTGGGGTAGGTGCTGTAGACTCTCGCATGGTAACTGGGCTGCTGGCTTGAGTGGACAGCCGTTCAAATCCCTAGCTTTCACTAGCGTTGTGTCCGGTCACAGTACAAACGTTTACCGCGTCTGGCCCTCCAGCTCGTCGAAATCTGACATTGGCAGAAGAGCTGTGTTCGTATGATGAAAGTCTGCGGGTGTCAATTAGTGATCGCTTTTGTTTGTAGGTACACGATTACACCCACAAACGAAATGGGCGCCACGTGATTAGGAAGTGGACGTATCGCTCTTTTTCGTTACGAATGTTGGAAGCATCTCAAAATCGTTTGAATCCCTTGCCGACAGAGCTTGATTCTAAGACACTTTAATGCCTTCCATTTGGTGCATGAACGGCAGGGGCGCATGAGCTCAACCAGCGCAACCAACAAATTCTCTGAAGTATAATGACACGGTCACCCTGCATGAGACTCAGCAGCTGAGTGTTTTACAAAGCGCCAGTAGTGGCGGCAACGTTTGCAACGCCTGCTGTGTTGGCTCCCCTCCTCCCGCTGCTTGGCAGCACCCGCGTGACCTGTCACCAGCAACGTCTGTGGATGGTGACCCCATCCCCCGTCCCGCCGCCTGACGCCGCCCTTGCTGGACCACCTCCGATAGCAACAGCAAGCAGCAGGTGAGCGACAGTGGTTCTCTCTTGCAATTCGAAGCATCAGAAGTTGTACATGCAGAGTATGGTATGGCGATCTACATGCGAAACCACTTTGGAGTTGCGTCGACAAGGTCGGGTGACCTTTTCAGCTGACGTTTTGCTTATACCCGGACCACGGCTGATCTTAAACATCTCCGTGATGTAAAGCTAAACAACAGCTCATCAGTAATGGTAAGGTCAAGGCGTTTTCAGGACGCTGCGACATGACTGAACACTGGCGGACGGGTCCTTAGCGGCCGGCGTCGCACGCTCTTGCATACGTGACCCGGGGACGAGCCTGGAGAGGGCGATTGCGAGCTGCTCTGCGCTATTACCATATGAAGTTTGTTGCCATTTGCAGCTACATCAAGTAACTGCCCTTTATTTTATTCTGCGCAGCAAAAGTGTCACCGTGATCACGTCAACTGACATTTTCTTGTCAGCATTCAGTACTCTCAAGATGACTCCTGCTATTGATGAAGGACATAGCGGACGACGAGGAATGCTGATGCAGGTAAGACAATGATGCATCGAGAATGACACCATTTCTCAAATCAAGTCGGCATAATATGTGAGTTCTGTCACCGACATAGAGTTCCAGCGTTCCACGCCAGCAATCGGCAAGGGAGATTGGGACACAAACTGGCCGGAAATGCTGAATGCCTGATTAAACGCGAACAATTTTGGCACGGGACCTATGTCACAACCTTTCAGTGAGAACAGCGTGTCCACTGGACACTGTGTCACAGAAAGGTCGTGGGCAGAGCTGGCCTTAAAAATTAGATGGCGAGCATTACAACTGCAACTCATTTTGTAATCGAACCAGAATTCGGACTGTTCATGCATGTCAGGGGCACAACGACCAAAAGGAAAAACAATGGAGCACAAACATTTGTTTGTATAAGGAATAACTTCCTTAAACTGACTGCAATCACGCACAGCTCGTAAATAATTAGGATTGTGTGTGTTTATGCGTGTGTGTGTGTGTGTGTGTGTGTGTGTGTGTGTGTGTGTGTGTGTGTGTGTGTGTGTTGTGTGTGTGTGTGTGTGTGTTTGTGTGTGTGTGTGTGTGTGTGTGTGTGTGTGTGTGTGTGTGTGTGTGTGTGTGTGTGTGTGTGTGTGTGTGTGTGTGTGTGTGTGCGTGTGTGTGTGTGCATGCGTGTGTGTGTGCGTGTGCGTGTGTGCGCGTGGGGGATGTGGGGGGGGGGGGATGTGCGTGTGACCGTGACATTTGCAGCGTTGACATCATGCTTACAAAATGCATGCGTTTTTTCACGGGAAATTCCGGACTGCTGGTCTGAGTAGTAGTAGGCTAAGCCGTCCCTGACGCCGCTGATCTATACCTGACGTTACTGATCCGCGCCTGACATCACTGACCTATTCTTGACGTCAATGATCTTCGCCTGACGCCACTGATCTGGAGCTGGTCGAGCTGACGTTGCTGTGGACCCGGAGGTCCTCAGCGCCCCAGAATATCACCAACATTTTTGGTGGGCGCCCAGCTATCATATGATACTCATATGGGCTACGTTTTACGTCACGTGTACCAAAATACGGCATCGATTCTGATATCGATAAATAGGAGGCGGGCTTTCGGATAGTTCTCAATATTTTGAATAGCCAATTAAGCCGTCAAAATTGGTAGCAAGTCACCGACTTGAAGTTCTTAGACCGCCCCGATCTCAGCACAAGCATCCGGATCAGTGCCATGGGCACAAATAACTACGTCGTAAAGCCCGGCTGCGCTGCTGAGACACAAATGTGCATACCGTCGGACATGGCCGCCCGTGATCAGCCACACGGCGCCAGTGCTACGCAAGAGGGAAGCGGCCGGGCCTCCAGTCCGACCCTCCAGACTCAGCCGAGTTTCGGTTGGCCGTGGCGCGCGCGCCGCGTGCCCGTTATTCCGGTTTAGTTGGTCGCGCTGCATACACCGGTCAAGCCGGGTTCCTGCTGCTAATCCACCTCGGAAGCACTTGACGCACCTTGAAAGCCACGCTTAAGCAGGGATTGCCTGTGCTGATTTGCACGTTATCTCACTGAGCTTGGAAAAACCGATCTTTAGAAAATGAAATAGAAACGAGTTTGGGAAATCCGATTTCGACCGCTAATGTACTTGTCACTTGCCACTAATTTCCCGAGCTAGGGGTAAATATCCCCGTGTTTGCGTGATGATGACGTCTCAATTTCTTAATGAGTGAGAGTATCTCTCGGTATCATAGTATAAGGAACAAGTATTGGAAAGATGATTTAGTAACCTTAGCATTCTGGTTTCATCTTGTCACCGTGGCATTCTGGTGTAATCTTGTCAAAAGCTAGGATTCACGCCATAGATAATTGATGCTCCACTGAAACCTTTTGCAGGAGTTCACTAAGCCATTCAGTCACGATAACATGTGGGCTAGCTTGCCCTCACATGTTTCTAACCTTGACCCCGGCAGCCTCTCTGTTACCCTATTCCCGGAAGGGAAAGAGGCTTCGGCCCTGAGATCCCAAGCCTCTGCACCGATTATGAGAAATCACGCCACGGGTTATTTTTCGCGACAAGTCTTACACAAAAGTGCAAAAGGTGTGAGAGTTCATTTTTGCCACGGTTAGTTGTTAAGTGTATTTGCGAGGAGCATTATGCACATAGATAAGACGGTAGTAATAGGTTTATTCCTTGGAGAAAGGCCAGGGCAATGGAGGTATAGATGCGTCAATATTTCGGCAACATGCCTTTATCGTAACGAAAAACAGACATTTTTGTATTCTTTACTCTTGCACTTCTGCAGTTCTTTTCATAATTTCAACACAGTGTGCACCCATTGGCTATTTCGGAGCGGGGGGCCCTGAACAGAATACGAGAGCAGCGTGCAAACGTCTGTTTTGTTAGGAGGCTCGGTGTTGGAGTGTTCTAGTGTGTAACAAACTAAAGTCATCGGGACTGAATCTATGCTCATATAATAAGCATTATCTTATCCCGTGCCTGAGAATGAGGGCCAGACAAGCTCCCATCAGTTTCTTCCTCCACCAGCCCTAAGTTTGGTTTAAGGGGAGTGGTTCACCTTTTGTATTTTTCGCTTACACCTTTGTGTCTTTTATGGCGCCTCAAATTTGATCGTAAATATCAGTACACTTGAAACCCTTTTGGATAGGTCAGAATTTCTATTTGAAATAGCTGCTCCGGTGGAAAAAACGATTTGATTTCCTGGCTCACAGTTCTGAAAGTAATATATTTCATTTGCATTGTTTTTTATCCGTCTGTGCTTTGCACGGTTTTTAAAACTCTGCTCTGACAAAATGCTTGTGTAATAAATGCTACGAAAGCTTGAAACACTCTCTTTGGAGAAAAAGGTCTGCAAACTTGATTATATTATCCCGCGAGTTCAACCAAACGTTTTACTATGGCTTTAATTCTTCCCCTATGGCGTTCCGCAAAGTGGCTCTTTTCAAAACGCACTTAAAGGCTCAAGCTCCAACCAACGCCCTTCGCGGCAACAAGGCGTTGCCACCGCTGTGCCAATCACAAACGTTCATGTGTACTCATGCCATTTACACTAGAAAGGGTGGCACTTTTAATCCCGCAGGCCCGCAGTGTGAAAATTAAAATAGCTCAAGAGGGGCACCTATAGCCCTTAACAGCTGACAGTCGCCCCAGCGAATTTTTCAGTCATGACGACGGCTCTCGTGACGTCTGCAGTTTTCGTTGGCTCGGGTTACACTCTGGGGTTACCAAGATAGGAGAGGAAGTGTAGTGCTGTAACAAAGCGTCGACAGCGTAAGTTGGACTCGGATATTATTGAAAATCGGATATTATTGAATATCCTATCTTTATGGTGCCTCAGTGGCACTACACAGTGCTGTAATTCATCGGAAATGGCCATGGGGCTTCAGCACAGCATATTTTTACGATATGCCCTAAAGGTGAATCACTGTCTTTAATAGGCTTTTAACCGCTAAGGGCACCGAGTTAATTTCTTCAGCTGCTCACTTACAGACAGATTTATCGTTCCGTAACTTCGTCAGCACTTTCTAACATGTGGTGACCAATGACCCATCTAAGAGGATGACGTCAGCAAAATATATCATCAAATCACGCACATACTTCGCTGGTTAGCTGCTTGACGCGTTACTTGTTGGTTTTATAAATGTAATTAGTTTTGACGTTAGTACTATCAGGCTTGCTTGTCACGCAGGGTGACAGAGATCAAAGTCGTCAGAGGTAAAGGTCGTCAGAGGTCATCAGAGGTCGTGAGAGGTCCGAAGGCAAAGTTTCAGCTCTTCAGAGGTCAAGCTAGATCAAACATGTCCAATAGTTATCATGTGCGGGATTCATGGCACACGCACTTGCAATGATATGTATCTTACGATCCACCGCATCAAGACCATTATGATGTCTATTATACGATCAGCGAAATGAAATGCTTTGGCCAGTCACCACAGGTCAGACAAATGTGGAAAGACTAAGCACCACTTGGCAAAGTGATCGCCGTAGTTGATTCAGGGCTGCTTCATCCGTGATAGTTCATTTTTCAACCAGCTTCGCCAATAGCTACTTGGTGTCAGCTACACTGACCTTTCAGTGGTCAAGCATGGTCATGACTGATTTGTTACTGTCTGCATGCGGATCTGAGCTCCCCTGCCATCAGCTGGGAATCGTGGCTGCGGTTTCAATCTGTATCGAGGAAAGCTTCACTACATTCGTTCAAACTCGCTCTTTATTGGATAGGGTTTACAACGTGTTGTGGACATTATTTCGATACATTGTAACACTCTGTACCAGTCTTGTTTGGCCCACGACGGGCCATATGCATGGTTGCTAACATAAGCCATGTAAGAAAGTTTGTCATGTCCTGCCAAATGCCGCCTATGATGTTGCCGTGATGTGGGTGATCTGATATCACAAGTAAAGCGAATATTTGGTCTTATAAGCAAGTTTGACCTTGACCTGTCAAGGTCAATGGAGATAATCTTACCTATACCTAACCACAGAATTGTGAAACGTTTACGTTCCAATAACGTTTACACGATGAATCTAGCACGCACATCCACTGCGTACGGTAATACAGAGCAAGCGTGACTCAAACAAAGGGGCTTGAACTCAGACCTCATCATTTAGCCCAAAAGAGAAAAAAGTACAGTTGAACAGCTTAGACGATGATCAATACACCAGTCGTTTCACGGTCACCCAACCTTGCTGAGTATGACACCTACAGGCATAGAGATATATATCGCGCGCTCCCGTGATATTTCCGTGACCTAAGAGATCACTCCTTTGACCCAGACACAAAACTGTTTAATGTCCACAACAGGAAAACAGCAAAGAAAACTCCGAAGCTGATGGATCTACGGTTTGTTCAATGGTTAGAAAATTACACCGGCAAGAACATTTCTTGCCATTTCTCATCTGGATAGTGCAAGGTCATTAACGTGAGCTAGTGTTCCCATTCCTATGGAACTAAATGCCCGATTTGTCTAGATAGCTTAGGCAAGGTTAACTCGCTAATCCCAAACCAAATCTTCACCAGTTGCCAAAGTTAAGAAATAAATAGGGGAGTTATCAGGCTCCTCTCGTTTGGCGAGACTAAAGACATATCCGCCGCTCGAGTGTTAAGTCCGCAACGTGCATGGAAACAAGAATGTAGTGATGATCATGTTGTGAAAGGGATTGTAAATCATTAGATGGTACCAGTGGTGACAGCGAAAAATATGCCAAAGCCGTGAAAAGCCACAAAGTGTGCACCGCGGCACTCTGAAAATCTTACCAAATGTATACATTATCTCAATGACCTGTGAGGCGGCCATCCCTCTTCCCGGTTTCATCACGTGGCAAACTGGTCTCAGGTGAGGCAAGCTATCGTGACCACTGTGCTCCATCTTCTTCAGAGAACTTACGGTGTAAGATCTCAAAGGCAATCCCCAATCTAAGGTCATTCGGGGTCGGGCTTACAATCGGTCACATTTAGTCAATTGGTTCAAGCCAACAGCCAAAGATATAAGTCAGCAACTCAAACTCATATGCATGTAATGAAGCCAAGAGGCTATAACATGCCAGTGGTGGTCACAGGGCAGAGAGCACTTTATAACCCTGCATAGTATCGTCAGTAGATCATACACAGTTTGCCAATGTCATCTTGCCACATGAAGATGGTAGGTGTTGGATATCTGAAATCAAGGCCACATAATGATATGAAATAATGTCAACTTTTCTCTGCGATGAAAAATTTATGCGTCCATGCTTTGACTCGCGCCACGTTTACTCCGCGAAAACGCCAACCGTTATGGAGGCCAACATAAAAACGTGGTTTATCTGGTTTGATTCTATCTCATAGAGCAGAATTTAAAACACACACACACACACACACACACACACACACACACACACACACACACACACACACACACACACACACACACACACACACACACACACACACACACACACACACACACACACATATATATATATATATATATATATATATATATGTGTGTGTGTGTGTGTGTGTGTGTGTGTGTGTGTACGGCATTAAGAATCTGGAGGCACCGCCCAGCTCTATTGTTTTCTTTCAGCGCGTCAGTTCGTGAGGCGTGTTAATTGTTTCCTCTTCGTTTATACTGTGCGTTTTTGTGTGTTGTTTGTGTTCTGCGTTGTAATGCATTACAGCTATGTTTGATGAATGACTAGATTGTTCCATTTTTGAGGACTCATTGTTTTTTGGATTAAATGTTTTTCTCGTAATTTTACAATGTTGCGTTAATTCTTCATCAGGCTAATGTTCAAGTAAAGGTATGCTGTAAATCTGGCATTTGCATTTCAACTAGCCTGCCCGATGCTGGGGAGCTTATCAATACCCTTCAGTGTTTTCAATGTACCACACGTCCGTCGCGGTAATGTTTTTTGTGTCATGCTGCGTACTGATTAGCCTTTCTGTGGTCCACAGGTCATCACAACTATTTCGCTTTCGATGACCCACTTCAACTTGGGGGCATCATTGGCGTTCGGTGGCGTCTTCACAGAGCAGCTGATCTCCGAGGACGCCGGAAAGGACGCCGACCTGACCCTGACCCCGTCACAGATCTCGTGGATCGCGTCCGTGTTCAACATTGGCACCATGGCAGGCTTCATTACGTCCAGCTACGTCAACCCAGCACTGGGCACGATTCGCTCGCTGCAGTTTTGTTCGCCGCTGGTGGCTGCCGGCTGGATGCTGACGGCGTTCGGCGGAAGCTTCTGGGTCATCCTGGCTGGCCGGGTGCTGGTCGGCGGGTCTCTTGGCGTCTGCCTTGGACCCATGGTCACCCACGTCGGCGAGATCTCGTCAGCGAACGTGCGCGGCTACTTGACCACCTCCCTCATCGTGAGCAACTGCTTCGGCACCACGTGCACCTACCTTTTTGCGTGGCTGCTGGGCTGGCGACACTTATGTCTGGTTATCGGCATTGGGCCAATGGCACTACAGTTCCTGACGTCACTGATGCTTCCGCGTTCGGCCAGGTGGCTCATCGCCAAGGGACATCCGCTGGAGGAGGCGGAGCGATCGCTGCGCTTCTACCATGGCCATGACTATGACGTCGACAAGGAGATTGAGGAGATCAAGCAGTCACTAGGCGATAACCACAAGCAGGACGCAACACTGCTGCAGGTGCTGTGTCTTCTCAAGCACCGGCACAACCTCATACCGTTCTCCCTGATCCTCGCCCTAAACGTGTGCTTCGTGTTCTCCGGTGGCCTGACAGCAACCTCCTTCGCGCCGGTTGTCTTCAAAGACGTGGGCGGCTTCATGAACCCGTACCTTAGCTCTACGCTGCTGGGGGTCGTCCGAACAATCACCGTCGTCTTCTGCAGCATCGTCATAGAGCGGGTGGAGCGGAAGACGCTACTAATGATAAATGGCGTAGTCGGAGCGGCAGCCTGCCTCGTTTGCGGCTGCTACTTTTACTACAGCGAGCAGCTGGCCGACTACAGCTGGATCGCACTGGTCTCCATCCTCGTCATCGTCTGCTCTATGTCCGGCGGCATCAGTCCCGTGTTGACCGTCTTGTTCTCAGAGGTGCTGCCCAACGCCATCCGCGCCGAACTGGGCGGTGTGAGTTTACTCTTTTTCGGCGCCGCCAACTTCGTCATGATGTACTCGTTCCCATTGGCCGTCTCCAGCCTGGGTATGTACGGAGTGTTCTGGTTTTTCACCGCGATGCACGTGTTCATGTTTATCTTTGCGACGTTTTGCGTGCCGGACACGAAAGGCAAATCCATAGAGGAGATACAATGCATGTTTATGAAAAATATCAACACTGCAAGTGGACCATTGCACGTTGAACATGGCTTGCCTGTCTTGGAAACTTGAAAGGATTCTCGAATGTGGTACTCTCGTGCATGTTTGCAATTCCACGAATACTGTAATACAAAAGTATGTACCACAACCCAAATGTTTTTTTTTTTTAAGCAGTGCTCCCTGTCCTGATCAGGCGACGATCTCAGTAGTTTCATCGGTCACCGGTCATCGGTTATCGGTCATCGATCATCGGCCATCGGTCATCGGTTGTCTGCCATCGATCGTCGGTTGTCGATCATCGGTTATCAGAGTTTGTCGGAGAAGGAACAGGTCCATCGGACTGAGGCTGAAACCAGAGTACAAGTCTCGTGCGAGTCCTTCTGTTTTGAGTCTGGGTTTGAGTCCCGTCTAATGTTGTCAGTTTACACGAATGTGAGTCCGTGGAGGCTGAGCACCGAGTTTGAGTCCTTGGAGAGAATAAGTCCGAAAGGCCGGGCTCAAGTCCTTGGAGACAAAGTCAGAGTCAGGTCGTGAATCTCAGTCTTATCTCAATTTGTGCTGAAGCCCTCCAAATTCTTACATGGTCCGACAAAACAAAAATGGCAGTACGAGGCAAGTTTTCTTGTCCACCACTGCCTTACAAAATGGCAGTACGAGGCAAGTTTTCTTGTCCACCACTGCCTTACAAAATGGCAGTACGAGGCAAGTTTTCTTGTCCACCACTGCCTTACAAAATGGCAGTACGAGGCAAGTTTTCTTGTCCAGCACTGCCTTACAAAATGGCAGTACGAGGCAAGTTTTCTTGTCCACCACTGCCTTACAAAATGGCAGTACGAGGCAAGTTTTCTTGTCCACCACTGCCTTACAAAATGGCAGTACGAGGCAAGTTTTCTTGTCCAGCACTGCCTTACAAAATGGCAGTACGAGGCAAGTTTTCTTGTCCACCACTGCCTTACAAAATGGCAGTACGAGGCAAGTTTTCTTGTCCACCACTGCCTTACAAAATAAACAGACACGGAAGCAAGTTTCGCATTAAGTGAGTATTGGGGTTAAATGCACGTAGACTGATCACACTATGAGCTAAGCATAGCCTATCTCATCGCCAGCAAAGCATAGCCTATCGGCGTCCTTTAAATCGGCCAGCTGCTAACTCAGAGCAATGAAGGTGTGCGCTGGTTGAATGCATTAACCTTCATGGCCGGTTAAATATACCTCCACTTTGTTCAGAGTAATGCACCGTTTCCAAAACTTAGTCACATTCACCTCAGGCTAGCTAAAATGCCCAACGCTGCCTACCCAACCCAAGACAGCAGGAATGACTAGCCATATGTAATGCACGATGCCATTTCCCTCACGCGCAATTGGCAACTGAGATAACCATTCCAGGCCCTTAAATCTCCGAATAAGCACCACTGGTGATGTATTGAATCAGAGTCAGAGCCCTAGTGTTTTGAAGACAAGTCTGTGTCCACATTATTCAAAGTTGGTGAGCCGAGTTTGACTCATGTGTAAAATGAATCGATTTCCTTGAGCCCAATGCCCAAAAAGCCATCAATCATGTTTCGAGTCGAACCAGACTTAACTTATATCTCTGAGGCTGGTTACGAGGGACAAAACAGGTAACGTACATTTCAAGTGATTACGCAGAATAATTTGAGCCATTGAGAGACACTTCGCAGGATGGGGGGTCAAATTACCGCCCCCCCCCCCCCCAAAGGTTTGTCCAGAATGGTTTCCGAACGGCAAGGCTAGCCGCGCCAAATTTTGCATAGCCGTAGATATTTGAATAGTGAATTACTTGGCATCAAAAATTTAGATTTATCTTGTAAGGTCGCTGACCTATAGCAGGTCAAAATCAGGCTATGGTTTCAGCGAAGGCAGTTTCCAGGGAATCCTTCAATGCGGTCCAACAACGGAGTGTTAGACGAAGCCATGCATCTCTGAGATGCTTTCGTAGGCAACACGACAGTTGACTGAGCAAAGTGTATTGACCCAAGATCAGGTATGAAGGTCGCACCAAGGTCAAAACGAATCCGTTTGTTTCTCTAGGGCTTGCTGTATGGGATCGTTTCTGGTGCTCATTTCGAATTTACTGATAGCAGGAGCCACATTATACAACTTTCATGGACTTATTAGAGGTAACACTAGGTCATTGATCCAAAATGACCAAGATCAACATTTTGTTTTAGAACATGCTGCCAAGCGTAGTCTTTGTCGCTTAGTCAACTGCAAAACTCAAAGCAATCTTGTATGATTTTGGTCACCTTGACCTTCAAAAGATCAAACAAGGTCACTGACCTTGAATGCGCATGTGACCTTTTGCTTAGAAACGGTTATCTAGGACCTAAGGGCACTTTGGAGACCAGCATGGAGCTTGACCTTGCTTGACTTTTTTTACCCCAAGGTCATAACCTAGGAATCTGAAATGTTGATCTAAGTGAGTTCACGTACACGTCAACACATCCTGTAAATTTGGTGTCTTTAACTTTCCTAGTTCCCGAGATCTCAGGGGTCAAATTTACCCTCCCCCCCTCCCCACCCGAGCGAAGGGTATCTAGCCGGCCACCCGGGCGCGTGTTAACATTTTCCAATCACCACCCTTTCAATCAGTGAAGCATTATTGTTGTTTCTTCATGGGCCCTTCGCTTTCGCTTGTGGCCCTTTTTGGTCGCCTGGAAGCCCAAAGGCGTTCAATGTTTTGCCTTTTGTATTAAAAAGCTATTTTTGTTTGTACTAAAAATCTCTGGCTGGCTATGATCACCTTCCTGGCCAAAGGAGTATAACCCCGTGCCCCCCCCCCCCCCTGGATGTGCTCCCGGTGCCGGTTTGTAATGTCTGTATCTATCAAAGAGAAGTACTAGGATGCTGAAGGGTTGAAGGAAAATAGCATGAGAAATAAGAAATGATCCTACTTGCAACAAATTGAATGAAAGCCCTCCTATAGCCTGCCAGTCGTTAAGCTCACGCAGATCGATTCCCTTCCTTTCGGGCGGGCCTCTGCCCGAAACCAACGCCCAATCCCCCTCCCCCCCCCCCCCCTGGAAGGTGAGATTCCAACCCTCCAACGCTAATATTTTCAAGCCTAGCTTTCTACGGTAAGCTAAAACGGTGTCAATTTCAAGAAAGGCTAATTGAATTGGTTCCCAGGTAAGCGGGATAAAGAAAATGGAAGCTGTGATGCCCTGCTCGTTGATCGCAGCTGACTTCAGCTGATGTCAGCTGTCAGCTGTTAAGGGGCTCCGCGGTCTTACTGTCTTTCACTGAACATGTTCTTTTTATGCTTGTTTATGTTTGCTGTAATGTCAAGAGTCGTATGTGGGCAAGGCGGGAATCATGCTTAAGCAGGCTTGATACCATAACACCTTCTCGGCGTCCCCACCCTCACCAGCCATGTCCGGATGACCGTCAACGGCGCGTGTACCGTCTGACCCCTCGTGGTCCTGGTCCTTGTCCGGCTCCGAAGGCGCTTCAGAGGCCGGTGAACTGCCACAGTCTTGCTGACAAACGCCTGCAGTACCTGTTCCGCACATCCCATGTGACATGAGTCGTTTGTGCGCCTAGCAGGTGAACGGTAACAACTTCTAATTACTGTGTGTAGATGTCTTGAGCGGTGTGGTTGCCACGAACACGCTTGCGAATAGAATGACAGGATTTGAATGACCTTATTAAGGCGTGATGGATGTTTGGGTGCTCTCGATAACGTCTGCACGAAATACGTCTTCGCTGGCGTTTAGCTCGGAAAGTAAAAAGATTTGGATCTCAAGGAGGGCAGGGCTGTAAACTAAGGACAGGGCATGCCAGGGCAGGTCTTCGATGTGTCGTAGCTGTGGATACCGGTTTCGTAACACCCAAAATACTATAGGCTTAGATCGGGAACATCAGACGTCATATGTTCGAAACTCAAAGTCCAACAACATCTAGTCCCTCTGGCTTCTGTAGTCATCCATATGAAGACCCAAAACACTATGCATTGAAGTGCCCACGCTGTCATCAAATCAGAATTTCAATGCTGCGTAAAACAGAGCTTATCTTCCCAAACTGTTGCAAGCTCCTTCACGGCAAGTAACTCAGTACGTATCTCAGAGGTAACGGCTCACAAAATTTCACCAGAGAGCAGATAAAAATATGAACATTTCTTCTTCAACCCAAATGATTCGCCTACCAAGGCTACTAAAGTTAAAGACTTTGCAGACATGACGGTACCATGGGACTAAAGTTTGGTAGCCCGCAGTATGGTTGTTGGTTGATAGTGCGAAAAGGTTGGTAGATACTATGCACGTGACTAAAAACGAAGATTTCACCAATGAATTGGGTGGCAATCGTGCTCTAAATATTTATTTTAATGGTATTTGCATAGGTATTGTAATTTTGCATTTTAAACATCCCAAAAAGAAGTCAGTACTAGGATTTGATTCTGAATTTAAATCCTACTCAACCACAATGCACCCGCGCCATATTTGTTGATGACAACTCTCCTAAATATTTATATATTGTGCATTTTTGCAAAAGGAATATTCATATGTTAATGTAAATATCGTATGTACTGTTTGCATTTAATTCATAACTGAGCAATGACTGTTCATATGTTTTCGCACTGCAGTACCTATATGGAGTGAAATGTGAAAATAAGGTAATATGAGAAGGGCAGGTGCCGAGAATTTCGCTGTTGCTGTCTTATGATTTTCCTAGGTGTTGGTTTACTTGTAGATCTATAATGTTGGACGGGTTAGATGAAAATGCTGCGCAGAGGATAGTACCCCAACCGCCCGAATATTTTCCAAAGACTATTTTGCAGCTAAGATATGGGCCACGACTCTATGACAGGCAGAAATCGCAAAACTTACCAGAAATCGGCCCATCTTACAGGAAAAGCCGCTATTTTGAGCTGAAATGGCGCGTGCTGTATTTAAACCACCCGGGTTTCACCACTCACTAACCCCATTAGGGCAGGCCAACCGTGCATCCACCCTGACAACGCACCCCCTGAGGCTACGGGATGTGCATCAAAGCTCTCAATATGCGTCCAAGGGTGCTGCGAGCCCGTCTGACCCGCCGTACGATGTTGCTGTATGTTGCACCCTTTTACACAGATTGTTTCTGATCACTACC